TAACAATCCTATTAGAGCGCACCTCTAATTTTATCATAAATGTAATTTTGATATAAAAAATTCTTAGGATGACTTGAGAATCTATTTTCATCTCTAATTATAAAATTATAAACTCTAAAAATGGTTCAAATCAAGTAGATCTATAAGCACATGAAGATCTTGAAAACGGACGGTCTAGATATTGTGTTGCAAGATACATTATTTCGCGGACTCGAAATCTTTTTTCTTTTCATATTCATACATACTTCTCGATATCGAGATGATAAATTACAGGGTTTTCTAACATCCAAATAACCTTTTTTGATGGATTTTTGATGTGCATCTTTAATTCTACATTTTAAGGTTGCAACCTTATAAACTTTTTCCATATGTATATATATATATATATAGGGTCAATAATCTAGGAGAATGAAGTGATTGAGGAAGATGTCGCATGTATTTTTAGAGCTGGGTGGGCGAAGTGGAGATGTGCATCCAAAGTTTTATGTGATCGCGGCATACTATTGAGACTGAAGGGTAAGTTCTATAGGACAGCGCTATAAGACCAGCCATGCTTTAGGGACTGAATGTTGGGTGGTCAATAAACAACATATCCATAAGGTGAGTGTAACTAAGATAAAAATGTTGAGATAGATGAGTGGCAAGACAAAAAAGGATAGAATTCAGAATGAATATATAAAAGGGATCTTAGGTGTGGTTTTAATTGGGAATAAGATGAGGGAACGTAGACTTAGGTGGGCTAACCATGTGCAGTGTAGACGTAATACAACACCAGTTAGGAAGCGCGATTTGACTGAAGTTGAAGGCTCTAAAAGGGCAAGTGGAAGGCCCCAACAGACATAGATAGCAGTAGTGAGAAAAGATATAGGGACTTTCAGTCTTACTAAGGGTATGACCCTTGATAGAGAAGAATCGATGAATAGGATTCGTGTAACGAACCCAAATAATTGGGATAAGGCTTTGATGATGATGCTGTTGACGATGATGATTATATGCATATCTGTGTGTGTGTGTGCATTTGTGTTTGGGCTGCCTTGAAACCTAGGCACCTATACCACCACTGCTGCCTGGGCACTGCCAAACAATTTTCACAATCTTGCTCATCAGGGGGCAATGTTTCCTTGACACTTGGGTTTGCCCTAGTGTCGTACAACGACATGTGTTGTCATGCCTTGAGACAGGGCTAACACATCATCGTACATGTCTTTGCCACATTCTAGCGCACTAACATGGGCGTTGATACTTATTGTTAAAAATATTGGCTAGAGTGACGTTTGTTTACATGTGACCTTAGTTTAAAAATGAATTGTCCTTAGTGGGGCTTGAACATGCAACCTCATGGTTTAAATTCTTTTCCATGAAGCAGTATTTATGTTTTTATTGATTCAATTTGTTTTGTAATTTTTCTATTATGATTTGAAAATTCAATATAATACTATATACTTATTTTTTATATAAATGATTATATTGACCTGTTAGTCGTACTCGATTCTCTGGCCAACTTGCTATATCCCCGAGATTCAAAAGAGGATCTATTTAGTTTGATGGAGGAGTTCTATTGGAGAGGAAGGATTGAGGATTAATATAGCCATGAATTCTACTTTCATTGCACTAATTCTTAAAAATTCAGTTATTCAAGAGGTGAAAGATATACGGCCAATTAGCTTGTTGGGTAGTTTGTATAAAATTATAGCTATGATTTTGGCTAATAGGCTTCGTCTGGTCTTACACTTGGTTGTTCAAGGGCCACAATCAACCTTTTTGAAAGAGAGACATATAATGGAAAGTATTTGGTGGCTCAAGAATGTATTCACTCAAGAATCATGAATAGAAAGCTGAGCTTAATTTGTAACTTGGATTTTGAAAAAGCATATGATAAAGTGGATTGGGAGGTGTTACAAAGCATAATGGGTAGTATGGGCTTTAGGTCTTGTTGGAGGTTGTGGATTGAAGGTTGCTTGAGTTCCACTCACTTTTCGTTGTTGATAAACGGAAAGGCTACTGGTTTCTTGAAAGCTTCTCGAGGGCTCTGACAAGGGGACCCTCTATAGCCATTCCTATATATTTTGATGGCTGAATGTTTTGGTGTCATGTTCGAGGGAGTTACTTAGAAGGGATATATTTCTGGTGTGAAAATTGGAAATAGAGGTCTTATGGTATCCCATATGCAATAAGCTGACGATATCATTATATTTTGTGATCCGTGTGAAAGAGAAGTTACTAATCTTTGAATTTTTCTTAAATGTGTGGAAATGACAACTGGCTTGAAAGTTAATCTAAACAAGACTAAGCTTATTGGGATAGGATGTCAAGACAATCTGGTGGGTAGTTTGGTGAAGCTTTTGGGTTGTGATGTAGAAAAGTTTCCTTGTAAGTACTTGGGCATTCTATTAGTGGATGCTAAAATTTCAAAAGCAATTTGGGACTCAATTATAAAATGATATCTGAAAAAGTTGGGCGTATGGAAGGCCAAGACCCTTTCTTTGGGAGGAAGATATACTTTAATCAAGTCTACCTTATTCAATCTTCCAGTATACTATATGTCCCTATTCCGTATGCCTAAGCAAATTGTCAAACGTCTTGAGAGGCTAATGAGAAACTTTCTATGGTGGGATGTGGACGAAGATAAAAAACTTCATCTGGTGAAATGGGAAACAATTTGCAATCTATTCAAGGAAGGAGGTTTGGGTATCAGAAGATTGAATTTCATGAACTCCAGTTTATTGACAAAGTGGTGATGGAGAATTCATTCTCAGCAAAATGCCTTTTGGGTGGAGGTTTTAAGAGATAAATATGGAGGGGATACCCTCACAGGACTCATTAAGAGTCCAAGAAATAAGTCTAATTTTTCCTGCTTATGAAAATGCATTGATCACTATAGGGGGACTCATTTGAACCATATCAAGAAGGCGATTGGTGATGGAGATCAAAACCTCTTCTGGTTTGATAAATGGTTGGGTGATGAGCCTTTTAGACTCCAATATCTGGAGGTCTTTACCAAAGTTTTGAACCTTCTGGCTATTGTAAAAGTGGCAAGTGGGGGTGTCTTACCAACATTGTTTCGTCTTTACCTTGGTATATCAAAACTTACTGAATTGGTTGAAGGATGTATACATTTAATTGAGGCATATCAAAACTTACTTGATTCTTTAATTGATTCTTTAATTGAGGCATATCAAAACTTACTGAATTGGTTGAAGGATGTATACATTTCGCCTAATTAAGTAGACTCTATTGTTTGGGTATGCACGAAGTCTGGGGATTTCACAGTTAAATCAACCTACTCTTTGTTGTTTGAAAATCATCGCAGTGCATCGAATCCCTGGCTGCGAATGACTAGAAAGATCAATGTCCCTACAAAAATTCAGATGTTCTTATGGATCTTTTGTCAGGAATGTCTGGCAACAATTGACAATCTAGGAGAAGGGGCTTCAATATCGTGAATATCTGTATTTTATGCAAAGCTGACAAATGAAAGTGTTTCTCATCTTTTCTTGGAGTACCCCTTCGCATTGAATTTGTGGAGCTAGGCCCATTAGTTGTTCAACCTTCAAGTGCCCATTGCAAGAAATGCTAGATCTCTTCTTGATCAATGGATAACATCAGGGATCTCTAAGATAGGTATTGTTCTATGGACGTCAGTTTGGATGAGCGTGCTTTGGGGAATTTGGAAAGAGCGAAATAGAAGAGTCTTTCAGGGAGTTACGTTAGAAGAATCGTCATCATCATCATTTTAGCCTTTTTCCAATTAATTGGGGTCAGCTGCATGAATTTTGGTTCTCCATTCTGCTCTATTAAAGGCCATATCCTCAGTTAGAATAATCTATCATTAAATCAAATATCATAGCATTGGATGTAGATTGGTTCTCTACTAATAAGGATTGTGCAGGTATTCCCAAAAGCTTTATAATAATGAATCATTATGAAGTAGCTAATCTTCATAGCTATAAAGCAATCTGGACTGCATTATGGATCCTTCCTCCTTCTAACATAAACTCAACTTTGACAGCCGTTCATTTGGAAATCCCGGAACGGCAAATTTTGGGGAGCTTATTAGAGATCATCTTGGACGGATCCTATTGTCGTACTATGGTCCTTGTGGTAATACAACAGTCAATGAAGCAGAAGTTAGAGGTTTATTGGAGAGCATTAAATTGCCTTCAAAATTCGATGGAAGAAAGATTATTGAAGGGCATTCAGCGAATATTATAGCATAGTGTAAAGGAGAAGCGAGAGTTCCTCGGAGACTCTCTTCCATTTTTTATGAAATTGGTGACATTCTTCAGGCATTTGAGTTTGAAATACTCCATTGTTATCGTGAAACAAATACTAAAGCTAATTCTTTAGCCAAGGGAGGTGCTTTTCGATCCTCATTGGTGATTACCAATTTCTTGTCATGTACATTTATGTGTTTTGATCCCCTTGTAACTTCACTGGTTTATAGTTAATAAAATTCATGTGCTAATGTTCAAAGATATATATATATATATATATATCCCCGAGATTCTCCGGCTATAAATAACCATACGGGACATGTCAAATGCTCAGATCTGTCTCCCAAATCTTAACAGGCCTGTCTTAGCATTTGATTTTCTTCAGTTATGTTGTCATGTTCATTCCTAATGATTATTGAAGTTTCAAACATCAAATTCTTTTAAGTGTGTGGTCTTACTAGATAGATGCAGCTCTTTTCTTTAATGAAGTTTCCAAGTGCAGATTCTTCATCATGGAATTTCACCTGATAATATGATTCAATTGAATGAAAAATTAATAACCTGAATGTTCAAGTTCATTTATTAAGCCCCATGAGCTGCAGGTTACTCAAAATATGGACTACTCAAAATAAATGTTGGTTAAATGATTCCCTACAAAGCTGTTGTATATAATACGTATCATATTATTGGTTCTCTGCAGTCATTTGTGCATACATTCATATGCTTGAATTTCGCAATTTTGATTATAGTTTAAAATGTCTCTTGTTATGTGTTTTACTGATACAGGAAGTAATCGACACATCGGGAGGGTAAGAACCAAACTGCTACTTAGAAAATTGATGGGTTTGGTTCCTTTTATTATTGCCTCTCGCATAATTTTATACTTTGATGGATAATCCTTGCATTTTCACTCGCTCGTTCCTCGTATCAGCTGTGGCGCAAGCTTTACTATTGAGATTGTTTCTGAACAATTCGAAGGGAAGAGGTTGCTCGAGAGGCATCGTATGGTAAATGCTGCATTGGCAGAGGAGATGAAAGAGATACATGCTCTTTCCATCAAGAAAGCTCTCACTCCTCTCCAATGGCAGCAACAGCAAGAGGCAGCAGAGAAAACGTCACAGTGAGATCCTAAAACTATTTTCTTACCTACCAGTGGGACAAATGTGTAATGTAATATGTATGACCCTGTTTTTCCTCATGAATGAGGGAAAATAATGAAGATTGCTTGAATATCTATTTAGTAACGGGAAAGCTTGATTCTCTTAGAAAAAAAAAGAATCTTTCAAAATTTCAAAAGAAAATTGTTCGATAGGGCTATAGACCTATCAAAATAAGTAAAGCCTCACTTTAAAACTCAATAAAAATTGCAATTTTGGTGTTGAGAAGCCTTCAAAATTATCATCTCAGCCTTGAACATTATGGTTGTAAAAGAAAAAAAGATTTTAAGCCCTAAAAATAATGGATATTGAAACAATTATATAGGCTGTCTATTTCATCCTAAAATAAAGTGTTCACTAATCCAAAAAATATGTACTGTATATTAAGCTTCCAATTTCATATTCGGTATTGGAAATTGATTTTAGAGTTTTCATGGAGATTTCTGATGCCCAAAGTGCTTTTCGGATGAGGACTTGAGGTGAGGCTTTACTTTGTTTTTATAAAGCCTAGGCCTTATAGAAACTTCATCCAATTTTTAGAATAAGTGCATGAGCTTTGAAACACATTGGCTCACCGGATGGGCACTCGGCTTGACATGTAATGACCTTATTTTGGAATTGATATCCTTTGATATTTCGAAAATAAGGGATAATTTCTAAGCAAACCCAGTTTTTACCCAATTTTGTTCATGGGATCCTTCATGTGTGATGAATGAAAGACCACAATTACAACTACTTAAAAATTAAGGGGTACAAAACATTGTGGTTCTTTTTTATCCCCCTTGTTGACTTGATCGATAGATAGTTTAGTGCAGGCTCGATCAATAAATCCATAGCTGATATGTGACTTTAATATGTGCTTATTCTAGGATGTTCTAGAGTTTACTTTTTGGGATTGTATACAATGGGACTAGTGGGATTTTTCTTGCACAAAGGTCGTAAACACCCCCAAGGTTTCAAATGTAACATTAGATGGCTTTCATTTCTCTACGTTGGCACGTGTAGGAATGAGGCCTCATGATGCCTCACCTATTTTCATGGTAGGAATCTCATGGGTATTTGCTTTTAATTCTTATTAATTGTTAAAAAAAATTTTAAATGTGATATATAAAATAAATAAATTATTTTCTCAAAATTTACTATTGTTCATGTGAGATGAGGATAAAAATCTTTAAAATCTGGCAGGTTGTTTTTCAAAGACCTGTTAAAAAAAATGAAATGTTGGGCCCCTTTGTTTTTTCTATAAATAAGGGAGTTTAAAGAGCAGAATGCACATAGAAAAAAAGTCATACTGCTCTATATTTTCAAAAAGCTTCTATCTAAAGAAAAGGGCTATTGAATTTAAATTTAAGCTCTGTGATCACCAGCCTCATGGCACACAGCCTATCAGATTTGGGCTTGGCGCTTATCTTCGCTCCTAACAATTTTGCTTGGGTATCATAGCCAAACTGGGTTTTCCCTTTTCCTTCCCTTGGTGATCGTGAGCGAAGTGGGTTTTCCCTTTTCCTTCTCTAGGTGATCGTGAGCGAAGCCCGGTTTCCTCGTTGTTTTTGGGATGGTTCCCTTCGCTGGTTCATGACTGTTAACCTTACTATAAATTGGTTTCTTTAAGCCCTAATTTTACTCTTAGGGTTAGATCAGAATTTGTTACAAAATTTAAAAAAGATAAATAAATAAGAACAATGATCCAATGCAACGGTTGTATTATAGTATAATGCAACGACATTTCTAAACAACCATATGTGTGGTATTTGTATGACCCCAAATTTTGCACATACACTCTTTTCATCTCAATAATCAATCCCCCAAAAAAAAAAGTTTAATTTGAACCCTAGATGTGATCAAAACTAGTCTCATCCAAAAACGAATCTAGACCATTCATTTTGTGAATTTTAAGATCTTAGCTTTTATAAACTCAAAATCATTTTTTTCTTTTTTAACATTATTCATGTAATGATAATAAATCCATCCAAAAAATTGAAAATGAAAAAATCATTCTAAAGTCTAGAGCTAAGCATCTCACCAAAACGAATGGAAAACGTTAATTGGGCGGCTAAAAACATACTTTCTAGGTTGTGTTTTCAATTTTTTCTTTTTTTTGTGATTGTTCATTAGAATGAAAAGATTGTATATTTCAAAATTTGGATCAAACAAATGGCCATAAGATGGTTTTTTTAATATTGTTGCATCACATAACTATACAATGGTTGCATGAAATCATTGTTCAATAAATAATAATACTTCCTTCTTCTTTCTTCCTCTCTCAAGAATCACTGGGGCTCACTAGGGAGCAGCCTTTTAAAAGTTTTTTTTTATTTTTTCCTTGGGTTACATAAGAAACATGGTGTGGTTTGTATAAGGTTGCAACTTTAAACAATCAAATTAAGGCGCATCTTCAATTTTTAATACAAATATAATTTTGGTGTAAAAAATTCTTAGGATGGCTTAAGAATCTATTTTCATCTCTAATTATAAAATTTTAAGCTCCAAAAATTGTTCAAATCAAGTAGATATATAAACATTTGAAAATCTTAAAATAGATGGTCCAAATATTGTGTTACAAGATACACTATTTTGAAGAATCGGTCGGACTCGGTGAAGAATCGGCGGAATCGGTGTTTTCACGAAACACTCGGTAAATTTACTACTCTGAATCAATCAAATCCCATTTTTTTACCGGATACGAGACGGTCATGCTATTCCTGATCGCTCGATTCCGAATCGAGTCACCGATTTTTAAATTATTGAAGAAAACTAAAACTTTACGTTCTCTATCATTACCAAATATCTATTATATATCAAGCGAGAGGGATACCCTCGCTATTCTTGCACCATGTGTTCTTTTTTGTTTTCAAAATTGCCCTTTCTTTCTAAGTAAAGCATTTATTCCTCTCTTTCTCTTTATGCCTCTTTCCTAAAGTATCTCTCCCTCCTAAAATGTCTTACCCGCACTCTCCCTCTTATTTATATCATCATCTTAAAATTCTCTTTTCTTTTTATGATTTTCTCAAATTCTCTCCCTCTACTGATTTCTCATTCTATATTTCATTGTAGGTAAAACATATTTTTGGTTGCATAGGAAACCATCAATTTTATCGCGACCTACCCATCCAAAGGTAATGCAACTTATATTGCATATTTTTTTTTATTATTCTTAATATTAAATCTCTTTACACACCCAATAACTTTTTCTGTTATTATTGTTGTTGTTCTTGATTGGTTTGCATGTTACAGTGGACAATGCATTTTCTTCTTTATGTGATTGTGTGATACGAATTGTGGTTATATTACCAAATCGTGCAAAGGACTTTAGACTTTGAGAATGATGATGGCCTTCTCTTAGAGAGAGAGAGAGCATGTGATTTAAAGTTCCAATTGCCTAAGATTTGAATTTAAGAAATCGGTGTGTTACTGTGTTTTGGATAAGCTTTTTCTATTGTATTTCTATAATAATTGTAAAAAGTAGGAATTGGTAAGATTAATTTATTTTTATTAGAATGATATCATTATAATTAGATTCTATAATTGCAATTACAAATTATATTATTTTAAAATGTTTAATTTATTATTATTTTATGCATAGTCTCTCACTTATTTATCTAAATATAATATATATATTATATTTACAATTATTATTTTGTAATAAATAAAGAGTAATGATCTATGAGATCCTCCCACACCCATATGTATAGAAACCCAAAGGATCACCATTAAATTTGGCACAGATCTCTAGAAAATTTATCACATGGGTGTGGGACTTGACTTTTCTAGAGATCTGTGCTAAATTTAATGATAATCCTTTCGGATCCTACACACATGGGTGTGGGAGGGTCTCATAGGATCATTACTCATAAATAAATTGTAAAATAATGTAATGTAATTATAATTATAATAAATGAATGATTAAATTTAAGTAGAATAATTTATTCTTATTAGAATATTATAGTTATAATTTTTCCTTGATACCCTCAAGTCTAAATACAACTTTTATAATTATTATTTCCATAATAATTATAAAAATTAGATATTGGTAAAAAATAAAATTTTTTTTTTCAAATCTTATAAATATATTATAAGTATAACTAATTTTTGTCCCCAAAAAGTAATTCAAAAGATTAAAAAAAAAACAAAAAACATTGCTACATGAAAGGTTCTATAATAATTGTAAAAAATAGGTCTTAGTAAGAATAATTTAATTTTATTAGAATATTATAGTTATAATTAGATTCTATAATTATAATTATAAATAATATTATTTAAAAAAAGTATTATTTTTTCATGCATACTCTCTCTCCTCTTTATCTTCATGATTGGATAATAAATATGATATATATATTACAGTTATATTTATTATTTTCTAATAAATAAATTATAAAATAACGTAATGTAATTATAGTTATAGTAAAATAAATTAAATTTATATGAGAATAACTTATTCTTATTAGAATATTACATTTATAATTTTTCCTTGATTGCCTAAAGTCTAACTATTTTCTATACACATATATTTCTATAATAATTATAAAAATTAGACATTGATAAATTTATAATTATATTATAATTATAACTAATTTATGTCCCTAAAAATTAATTGAAAAAATTAAAAAAGAAAATACAAAACCTTGCTACATGAAAGGAAGAAAATTAGATAATATTAACCCTATAATATTTATTGAAAATATTTTTCAATGATAAATATGTTTCAGTGATTAATATTAAATATCACATCCAATACACGTGCATATTACTAATAAATAATAATATGAAGGGTTCTTTTTTCTCTCCCAAGGCACTCGGCCTTTTTCTTTTTTGTTTGCCCGCTATCCACAATTGCAAACGTGAGCTGCATAATTCCGACGCCCTGCGCAATATCTAAACAACTCAATATCGCATTTCATAATTTTTCCTTTTGAGGGACGGTTAAGTCTTTATTGATGATAATTTTTGTTTTTTTCTAAATTAATTTGGTTAGTTTTTAGAGAAAATATATCTATATTCCCAATTTTTAAGTTTTATGTATCAATAGATCCAAAGTTTCAAAACATATCTTGGGTCAAAAAAATTCTAAGTCTTGTATCTTTTAAACCTTTAAGCTAATTTTATCCCCTTTAAACCTATTTTTTGCCCCAAACAAATATAATAAAGACATATCATTTTTAAACACTATTATTTCGCTCTTTTCATGTGATTTTCCCCCTAAATCTCTCTCTTCATGACTTTTTCCAAGCCCTTTATCTCTCTCCCTATTTTCCCACTATCTCTCTCTCCGTAGTTTATTTTTCTTTATATATTTGTTTGATTTCTGTGGATTTTTTCTATTGATTGATTGGATATTATTTGCATGGATGATTAACTGTATGTAGATTGTGCCTGTTTTTGGCAAAATGAGAGAAAGGGTTTCGGGAAACACGGGGTAGAGAGAGAGCAAGAGACCTAGAGAGGGAAAATGGGGGAAAATACACAGAGAGAAAAGGGGTTTGGGAGAATCTCAAAGAGGAAAGAGAACTAGAAAAATTTGGGGGGAATATATCATATAAAGAGATGAATGGTTTAGAATGAGCATGTCTTTTTTATATTTATTAGGGCTAAAAAAATAGTTAAAAATGAGTAAAGTTAGCCAAGGGGTTAGGAGATATATTTTAAATCCTTGGGTCTATTGAGATATGAAAACAAAAAATAAGGGGTACGGGATATGTCCCATGGGAAAAATTATATAGAGCTGAGGTTCAAAACAATCAAATTAGAGCCTACCTAAAAATTTTCACTACAAGATATTGATTTGATACCCAAATATCCTCAAATTGATCATCTCGACATCAATATGCATGGACATGAGAAAAAAATAGATTTCAAGTTCTGGAAATAGTATATTTTGTAATGCATTTTCTTACCGACAATTTTCATGATTTTCAAGTTTTCATAGATCTGTGGATCTACACTATTTTTGAAGTTTTAAACTTTATATAAAAATACAAAAATATATTTTAAGGCTATCACATATCTTTCCAATGTTGAAACCACATTTTTGGACACTATTTGAAGATAGGTTCTAATTTGATTGTTTAGAGTTTAGGCTCTATACAAGCCGCACCCATTTTTTATTAGTATTCGTTGTTTTTTCTCTAATATGTTAAAGCACAAAAATCAGTTGGTTTTCTTGTTCCAGCTGTGTGATAGTTGCATTATAATTAGAATTTCTTTTAGTCTTTATCAGAAAAAAACAATTGTTTCATGCGGGCTGGACCGCATTTATACAATATTCGGTCCAAAGGTATAAAGTATCCATTTTTAAGATGGATGCAAATAGGTGATCCATCTAAAAACAATTGTAACTAACGGTTTAAATGTTTTTTTAATATAATTATTATTTGTAGTTTTCAAAATTTATTTACTTTTTCATATTCATCATCTCCATATTAAAGATTATATATCCTACAGGATAAAATTATATTTAAAAAATATATTTATTGCCAAGTCTGAATTTCTACATGTGCGGGCATGGCCACACGCTAACCATGTCCATCACAACAATCCCTAACTACCTCGTACAAATATTCTGGTGTTGAATATCTATCCTTTAATTTTATTGATGCGCATTCACTTGAGTTTTGTTTAGCTTTTTTTTTTTTTAGGCCCATCAGCCATATTTTTTTTGAACTTCTGACATTCCTGGAGCATGTAACCTCCCTTAACTTGTAAAGAAAATTTTCTGTTTAATACCAAGAATTAGAAACAAACAAAAAAAGAGGGGAGAAGGGACAAAATTGATTCTATTTATTTATTTATTTTATTTTTATTTTTGGGTTAATTGAGAGCTTGCTTATTTCTTTCAATTTGTTTAAGCATCAATGTTGGCCCAGCATAATGCTTTCGCTGTTTGTGTTCTTTCTACGTATTTCACATAGATTGATAACTAAGTGTAGTTGCTAAGTAATTGCAATTTGTGACTAAATAACTCTGCAGGTATAAGCCATATATTTGTGCAATTATGGTGGCTTCTAGTTAGTTTCTTTTATAACCTTATTTTAGAATTTAGAAACTATTTAGGCTGCTCACACAAACTTAGCAAATGGTTGGCAGCATTGGAATGGTTGAACTTTCAAATATAAAAAGACTAAATGGGACCAACTTTGGCATGTGGAAGAGGATAATAGAATGTGTCATCAATCAAGATAGAATTTTATATGTGCTAAAAGAAGACCTACTAATAGTTAGTGATAAACCAACTTGAAGAAGAAAAGAAAAAGTTAAATTTTTTTTTTAAAAGATGACCTCGTAGCTGAGACATTGATGCTAATGTTTATACAAGATGATCTTATTGGGGCATTTGAAAATTATGACATATCTAAGAAAAAGTTAGAGGCAATAAAGATGAAATATAACACAACATTAGATACTCACGTACAATTACTCTTAGAGCAATACAACTCATTTAAGAAGAAGGAGGGCGACAATATGATAGACCATGTAAATAAAATGTTGGTTATGGCTAAGGACCTAATCATCGTTATTAGAAGAATAAAGTTCCTGAGTGCATGAAAGTTTCCATAATTCTAAATAGTGTTCTACCTTCATAAAGGATGGAGATTGTTAACCCTTAAATTTGTTTTATGTGAAATCCATTCCTAAGATGAATTTTAGAGAGATGACACTAAATAGATGAGTCGGGGGACCCATAGAAACTGTATCCTTATAGAGTTCCTGTATTTTTTAAATGATTAGGTTAGGGTACTCATATATATGAGTATTCCTTTGATGTATTCAACTATTTTAGATACTCATATACTATTATTTTGTAATACAAAATTGTTTTAGTAAATGTATTTTTCATGGTTAGGAGGGGGTATGATAAATATTTATATAATAAAATAATGACATTTATTTAGTGGTTAAGAAGCAATTATTACTCTATGTGGCAAAAAAAGGTTACTACATGATAAAGTAATGGTATTGAATGTCCAACAATATTGAGTACATTAAATAAATATTCATATATATGAGTACCGTAACATAATCATTTTTTAGTTAAAAAAAGTATATAAAGAGACCGTCTACTTGACTTGCTCTATAAATTTTACAAAAGATCATTAAATGCATATCAAACGAATACTTTTTATTATATAAATACAACATTGTTTTCAGCCATTACATTCATAATCATCCACAATTGCCCCCAAGCCATGATCAAAAGATGCATGCATTGTTCATAATTTATTTTTAACAGCCACAATGACTAGAATACATTGCATGAATAAATCACAATTAAATGGAACGGATATTGAAATGGAAGACCACCTTTTGCGATGCCATATAACAGCTACTGCTCCTTATTTCCTTGCATATGATAAACTCTGGTTGGGTGCACATAGGCTAGAGATATGGAATGAATCCATAACCTTGCCTTATGAAATGACAAGGGGTTGCCTAATATATTCCATCCATATTTATGACTTGAGGGAAAATGATATACAACTCATATATCTAAATTTCGATTTTGGACCATATCTTCAAATGCCAAAATGTTTTTCATCAGGCACTTTCCAACACAAATACATTACCCTGGTCATCCCTCCCAATTCTTAAGGATTCATCTACATATCTACCTGGAATTAAGAATAACTCATTTGTGGTGGCTTTCATGCCCCCCCTCTC